TGTCACTGACATGTGCCAGGATGCTGCCTACTGAAATCCATTTTCTGTCTGTCAGGTGTCCACGGTCTCCTCATATACATTGGAATTTCATCCACGGCCATTTCTCTCCCCCACAGTTCCATTTGTGCATCTTCCGGCACAACTACAGTATTCCTATATATGCATACTTAAAAATAGGGAATTGAATTCTTTATTGTATGGACAGAACTCTGGATTCAGTTGGGGTTATAAATTGAGGATCGCTTGATCTTAAAAATATGCCTTCAAATATCCTGGGACGGATTGAAGCTTGATATACGCGGGGTTCATTTTGTGAGTGGTGCGGTGGCCGAGAGGCAGAGCTCTCGCCTCAGAATCAGGAGGCCGTGAGTTCAATCCTAGGTAGAGGCAGATGTTTCTCTCTCTTTGGGCACACTGAGAATGTATCTCTGCTGAACAGAACTCCGCACCGGCGACAGGGCAGGGCATCCGGCCAGTAAAAAATCTCCGCTAGCTCCATTAAGTTGGCCAGACTGCACACCGCAAGGGTTTATGGGGTCGTTAAATGATGACGATGATACGCAGGATTCCTTTTAAGACGGTTTTGTGTGTTTCAGCCGATCGCAACGACGTCACTGCACCCCAGATTGAAAGAGGAGCTCCTGAGCCAAAGTAGCAGCGGGACCCAAATCTCAAACGCCAGCGTTGTGTCCTTGGGAGAAGCCATCAGGCAGAGGTCTCTCATGACTCAGGTAGGTGTGAGACGCTCAACGCCTTCATTCCCTGGCATACGGTTGGAATGTGGGGAGTCTTCGACTTACGACATTGTCTCTTCAAAGTTACAACAGCCCTGAAAGATGGGACTTACGAGCGCATTTCATCGTCGTGACACCTTTGCAGCAACCCTCGTGGTCACATGATCCAAATTCAGCTGCAACGTCAACGCAAAAGCCCGATTTGCTTAACAGCCAGGATTCCAACTTATCAACTGCAAGTCGTAAAGTCGTAAAATGGGGCAAGACTCACTTAACCCTTAACCACAGACGTACTATTTCAGCTACGTTACCCTGTCCCCCCCCCCCCCCAAAAGACCTCCCCGGATAATAAGCCCAATCGGGCTTTGGAGCGCATGCGCTAAAATAAGCCCTCTCCCGAAAATAAGCCCTCCCTGAAAATATTGCCTGCTGCCAATTACCTCCCAAAGACCCATTAGATCACACAGGGTCGGCCTCCTCCGGGTTCCGTCCACCAGCCAATGCCACCTGGCTACTACCCGGGGGAGGGCCTTCTCTGTAGCAGCTCCGGCCCTTTGGAATGGACTCCCCGCAGAGACCCTCACCTCTCTCCAGGCCTTCCAGAAAGCCTTCAAAACCTGGCTGTGCCGGCAGGCCTGGGGGTGATGAGTTCCCCTCCCCTCTCGACTTGTANCTTTAAATCATGCAAATGTGGTCGCTTTAGGCCATGTTTTGTCCTCCGATGCAGACTTCCTTTGCAAATGAAATGATGATGCTGGATAGCCATTTGTCTGAAACGGTACAGGGTTTCCTGCCTAGGCAGGGGGTTGGACTAGAAGACCTCCAAGGTCCCTTCCAACTCTGCTATTGTATTATTGTAAGATGGGTCCCTCAGAGATTAGGTGGGCAAGTATTAAATCATATTTTCAGTTAATAACATTTGCACAGTGTAGTATATTCCTCAGAAACAAAATCAACATTTGTAATCTTAGCAAAAAGCTTTTTTTATGGTCACTGTAACAATCCCCGTCCATAACAAACAATGAGGGCTTCAAAATGGCCACATGGGAACGTCATGCAAAGGTTACAGTGAACTAATGTCACAATAGCTGACACCAATATGTAAACTATGGCATCTCCATAATGAAGTCATCCCATATGTGACACCGTGAATGTAATTTTGGCTCTTTTTTCCCTTTTTTTGGATAACAGTGGGGGTGGGGGAAGGAATTGGCAATTATTGAAAATCCCAATGGACGTCAATAGTTCCCGTGTTTCCTGAAAGTGAGTTTTCAAAACCACTATTTCCAGAATTGCCCCAAATGTCAGCCACCATAGCATAGCTTTTCTTTGTGTGTTTAATAAAACAGAAATATAATCCTGCCCTTGACCTCAGCGGAGTTTGAGGGTAACTTGTAAAGAACAACTTCAAAACATTAAAAACCCGAAGGGGGGGAAAAAGGCAGCAAAACAAGATAGAAAGGGGAAGGAAACCAAACCATTGCCAAAATGAATCAAAATAAAAATAATATACCGAAGTGGAAGTAAAAGTGGCTTGTGGTCTGACAACCAATCATGGCTTGGTCTTTCTTCCAAGCTGAGCATGACCACAGAAAATGTCCAAATGTTTCTTTCTCTTTCTTCCCATTTTCTAACAGATGATAATCCAGCAGAAGACACAAGGGCAAGCATTCGCACACTCACTACAACCAAGTCATCTGGGCCAATTCACCAGTGGGACAATTCAATCATGGGACAATTTAAAAAATACAAAATTTAAATGTTAAACGCTTGGCTTCTAGGTGCTCGCTAAGAAAGGATTTTTCAAAATGACCATCTGATCATTAATATTTTTTATACAGTATTATATTAACACACTGATGCTAAGGCGTTAGACATTCTACTCTCCCTCCCCACTTGAAAAGAATTCTGTTCCAACTGCCAGTTGCCTCATATTCCGTTACCTCAGTTCAAACTGGCAGACATTCCACTCCTTCACTCAGGACCAGTCTGGGGCTCCTTACTGTACTAAATGTCGGTAGCTCACCAAAATGTCTATGCTTTCCACCTATGGAACTGCTTCAGGATTCAAGGCGGTGGGAGAGATATTCCCTTATGAGACTAACCACCACTGAGCCAGCAGATTGTAAACCAAATTTCTCCTGCAGTATCCCAGCCCCAACTCCCTTTTTTACACTGAGCTCCTCAGTTCTGATGAATCTGTTCCTTCTTGTGTAACACCAGTTAAAGGGAACAGAGGGGGGGGGAAATGCAAGAAAAGATTTATAGATGCAGTTAGGAAAACACAAGTAAAGGAAGCTGCAAAAAGAATCATCAAAGTCATCCAAAACTCAATAGAGAGGCTGTAAAAAGGTATGCATCTAATAACCCCTACGTTAATTAGGCAGCTCCAGCTAAATACAATGAAAGGATATCACATATCAGATCAAGCTTTAAGTGTCAATTTATCAAGTCCGATCATATAGTTTCGTAGTGCAGCTAGTAATAATAATAAAAGAAAGAAAGTAAATGCAGAAGTACAAGAGTTTTGATGCATAAAAACATGGTCACCAATAATAAAAGTATCATATTTTTCGGAGTATAAGACACACCTTTTTCCCTTTAAAAAGAGGGTGAAAATATGGGCGCATCTTATACACTGAATACAGTATTTTTTGCCTCCCAAAACCCCACCCCCTTTGCAAAAATGGCTGTGCATAGCCTTTAGGAGCCTTCCAGAGTGCTTCTGGGGGCTGGGGAGGGCAAAAATTAGCAAAACATGGGCTGTTTTTTGCTCGGTTGTGCCCCCGCAGCCCCCAGAGCACTCTATAAGCCTCCTAAAGGCTATTCATGCCCCCTTTTTTGACAAAACACAGGCCTGTTTTCACAAAGAGTGCAAAAACTGTTCTTTTTAAATCAAAATCTTTGTGCGTCTTATACTCTGAAAAATACAGTAACTGACGGGCACTTTTTATCATATGTGGTGAACTTGTGCTGAAGCAAAAAAAATTGGGCAAAAATAGATAGATGACTAGAAAAGATAATAGGGAAGCATGTAGACTTTAAACCTGAACTGTTTTTATTAGGGATGATATCAGAAAAACTTGATAAGAGAAGTATGTATTTAGTATTACATGTTTTAACAGCAGCAAGGATTATCTTCGCACAATATTGGAAAAAATGAAGAAACACCTCAAGATGGAGAGATAATTAAGACGATATTAGACCATGCAGAAATGGACAGACTTACATTGAAAACCAAACAGAAAAAAGACACAGAATTATTATCAAACTTGGAATTTATTTCACCAGTTGTTGGAAAAAAGGAGAGTAAGAAAGGCATTAGTATTGTTAAGCAAATTAAATACTCAGACAACATGATGTTTATTAAGCACTAAGAAATGTAATGAATAGAAAATTAATAGGTAAAGGTAAAGTTTCCCCTCACACATATGTGCTAGTCATTCCCAACTCTAGGGGGCAGTGCTCATCTCCATCTGAAAGCTGAAGAGCCAGCGCTGTCTGAAGACGTCTCCGTAGTCATGTGGCCGGCATGACTAAACACCAAAGGCGCACGGAACACTGTTACCTTCCCACCAAAGGTGGTTCCTATTTTTTCTATTTGCATTTTTACATGCTTTCAAACGCTAGATTGGCAGAAGCTGGGACAAGTAATGGGAGCTCACTCTGTTACGCAGCGCTAGGGATTCGAACCACTGAGCCAACGACCTTTCTGATCAACAAGCTCAGCATCTTAGCCACTGAGCCACCGCGTCACTGTTTAAATTAATAAAATTTATTTAATAATAATAATAACATTAATAATAGTAATAATAATAGTAATAGTAACTGAATGAAATGATTAATATAGCATTGAATTGTTCTGTGGTGAATTGTCCTTTAGTGAGTTGGCCATGGGAATTGTCCTGGTCCCATATTTGCAGGCCTATCATAGATACCTTCTTTAGCACTTATGTTCCTTCTGAATCTGACTTTTGTTTAAAGAAATTTCTATGTTTAAAAACAACATGGAAACTGGGATGCTACAAGGCTCTCTTTCTCAGCCAACAATGGTTCCAGGAACTTGCTTAGGAATAAAAATAGAACAGTATAAAAATATTTATATAACTATAAAAGTGGAAAGCGATTAGAAACCAAGAGCACTGTCCCAGACAGACCCAGGGCGCAATCCTAGTCTACAGGTTTTGCTGGAAAGGTAAAGGTTTACCTCGCACATATGTGCTAGTCGTTCCCAACTCTAGCGGGTGGTGCTCATCTCCGTTTCTAAGCCAAAGAGCCAACGCTGTCCAAAGACTTCTCTGTGGTCATGTGGCTGGCATGACTAAATGCCAAAGATGCATGGAACGCTGTTACCTTCCCACCAAGGTGGTCCCTATTTTTCTACTTGCATTTTTACATGCTTTCAAACTGCCAGGTTGGCAGAAGCTGGGACAAGTAATGGGAGCTCACTCCATTACACGGCGCTAGGGGTTCAAACCAACAAGCTCAACATCTTACCCACTGAGTCACCGTATCTCTTCTCTGCTTGGCAAGCAGGTAGCAATTGTGTCTAGGAGAGCCTTCACATACCTTTGTGTAGTGTGACAGTTGCATTCCTGAACCAGGAGATCCTGCTCACCATCCTCCATGCCCTCGTAACCCCAAGCTTTGATTGTCCCAAAGATGCTTTTTCAAGGAGCAACCGGACTTGTTTTTCTTTGAAGGCGTTTCACTTCTCATCCAAGCTTCTTCAGCTCTGAAGCGAAACGTCTTCAAAGAAAAACAAATGTCCAGTTGCCTCTTGAAAAAAACACCTCTGGGACAACCATGACCTGGATGACCAAGAATCTCCATAGATTACTGCAAAGCACTGCACATGGGGCTGCCCTTGAAGAGCATTGCACCCAGAAACCTTGAATTGCACCCAGAAACACAACAGCAGACAGTGAAGCTCAAGGAGCACATGTTACACATGCAACGCCAGTTCTCCTTGAGTTTCACTGTCTATTGGGGTGTTTCCGGGTGCAATTCAAGGTTCTGGTTGTCACCTTTAAAGTCCTACAAGGCTTGAGACTAGATTACTTGAAGTACTGTTTCTTTCCGAGTGTCTCTACCCATCCAATTCAATCCAGTAGACTGGGCACGCTACAGATCCCATCTATCAAAGAGTGCTGGTTGGTGGGGACCAGAAGACAGGATTTTTCTGCAATGGCCACTGCTCTTTGGAACATCCTCTCTTTAGGGATTAGAATGGCTCCACTCCTGCTGTCCCTTTGCAAAGCTACTTGTACTTTATTAGCTTGTCAAACATGTACAAGATAGCAGGTATTAATATAAACATGGACATGAACGAAGGAAATGAATACAAATAAATGGGGACAGTAGGACAGGGACGGTAGGCATGCTGGTGCGCTTATGCATGCCCCCTTTAGGGACCTCTTAGGAATGGGGTGAGGTCTGCGGTAGACAGTTTAAGGTTGAAGCTGTGGGGGGGGGAGGATTTAACAAGGAGTCAGGTAGAGCATTCCAGGCATTGACCACTCGGTTGCTGAAGTCGTATTTTCTGCAATCGAGTTTGGAGCGGTTTTCCTTGAGTTTGTATCAATCGTTTGCGCATGTATTATTGAGGTTGAAGCTGAAGTAGTCATTGACAGGTAAAATGTTGTAAGAGACGCACTGTGCTTAGATTATACCACAGGTGGCACAGTTCCAGATTGTCCAAGCCCAGAATTTCAAGCCTGGTGGCATAGGGAATTCTATTGTGAGTAGAGGAGTGGAGTACTCTTCTCGTGAAGTACTTCTGGACCCGCTCAACAACATTTTTATCAGTCAATCAGAATAGAGCTGAAAGGCACCTCAGAGATCTTCTAGTCCAACCCCCTGCTCAAGCAGGAGACCCCTTTACCATTGCAGTTAGGTGGCTGTCCAAAAGCCTCCAGTGATGACGCAGCTTCAGCTTCTTGGCTATGTCCCCTGGCCTGAGGCCTGGAATGTGGGAAGGCCCCATTTTCTGACTTCCCTGTTAGTTGACTAATTATCTTGGCTACTGTTTCTGTTTATATTTTGGATGCTTCTACCATTTTATTGTTTTTAATTGTTTAGTAATTATTTGGTTGAGTTGAGCGGCTATAAAAATTGAATAAATAAATTAGAGTCATAAATAAAGAGTCCTTGGGCTCATGTTTTTTTCATTTGTGTGCTGCCCCATCCATTGTTCCCAAAGCTGAAACGTTTTGCAAAATCACCTGAATCGTAGTGTGTGGGGGAAAGAGAAGGGGAATAAAAAATTCAACATGACAACTGTGACAACATGAATGAAGTCTTGTCCCCTTTGCGTGCAGGCATGTAAAAAAAGGTGGCACTTCAACTGAACAGAGAATGACAGAGTTGTAAGGGACTTTGGAGGTCTTCTAGTCCAACCCACTGCTCAAGCAGGACACCCTATACCCGTGATGACAAACCTTTGGTATGTGTGGCATGCAGAGCCCTATCTGTGGTCACATGGACCATCACCAGCTGCTCTTCTGGTTTCTGGTGCGCCCATGCACAGCTGATCTTCACGGGTGCCAGAGTGCCAGAAAATAGCCTGAAAATGCTCCCCCAAACAGCCAAAAAAACAGGCTGTTTTTCTGGCTGTTTTTTTTTTAGTCATTTTCAGGCCAAAAACAGCCTGAAAATGACCTTGAAAATGGCCTGAAAAACAGCAAAAAAAAAGGCATGTGCCGGCCAGCTGGTCTTCAGGTTTCCGGCACTATGGCGCAAGCACATGCACGCACGTTCCGGTTTAGGCACTTGGTGCCAAAAAGGTTTGCCATCACTGCCCTGTACCATTCCAGACAAATGGTTGTCCAATCTCTTCTTTAAAACCTTCAGTATTCAACCTACAACTTCTGAAAGCAAGTTGCTCCACTGATTAATTGTTCTAACGGTCAAGAAATTTCTTCTTAGTTCTAGGTTGAATTAGTTTCCATCCACTGCTTCTTCTCCTGCCTTCAGATACTTTGGGGAATAGGTTGACTCCCTCTTCTTTGTGGCAATACTTCAAATATTGCAAGATTGCTATCAAGTTACCCTAGTACTTCTTTTCATTAGATTAGACATACCCTATTCCTGCAACTGCAGGTTAGCCTCCAGCCCCCTAATCATCTCTGTTACTCTCCTCTGCACTGTTTCTGGAGTGCACAGTCAAATCCATCATTTTGGGTTTTTCCCCACCACCTCTACTACCAAAGAAACACCCATGGACATCCCTGTACAGGTAGTCTTGACTTACACTATAATGGATACTGGAATGTCTCTCATAAGTTAAGACAGTTGTAAGTCAAGGCAGCAATGTAACTCATTGCTAATATCATGTTATTGCCTTTTTTTGTGGTAGTCATGAAATGGATGTAACATCTGTTAAGTGAACATAGCAGTTGTGATAACCTTGGGAATCCGTATTGCCTTTCCCAGGGGAAGATGTCAACCCTGCTATTTCTTATTATTTGTTTCTACTACAATCCACTTGGAAGATGTTATGAAATGGGCTTGCAACATTCTCTGAGCATCGAGTCCCCTCCTCTTCTCCCAAATATCTATCCAGTTTGCTTATATTACACAAGACGTTACTTGCATAACAGCAACTAAATAGCAAATATCGACCTTGGCAACCTTAAGATGGGAGGACTTCAACTCCCAGAATTCTCCAACCAGCAAAAAAAAAAAAAAAATGGAGAAAAGAGAGAAGGGTGAATTCAACTGTTTAAGCCCTTAGAGTTAATAGAATCTAGATCAGTATTTCTTAACCTTGTCGACCTGAAGATGTGTGGACTTCTGGCAAGGGTATTCTGGAAATTGAATTACTTAAATTATTTACTGACCACTGCAAAACATGTTGTCAAATCAGGCAAGTCACGTGATGATGTAATTCTGGACTCCATTACAATTTTCCAAAGCACCAGAAGCAGTTAGTGGGTTGTACATTTCGCCATCACTGGCTCGTCCCGCGCACGCCCATCCGCTTTGCGCATGAGCTTTGTTCACACACGTACCTTCTGCGCATGCGTATGGCCTCAAAAACATGCCTAAATAGGATGCCATAAAGACAGGTCAGGGGTGGGCGGGGAGTGGAAGCTTGGAATCAACTTCCAGCAGCAGTAATGGATCAATCATCAGTAACCGAGTTTAAACATGTTTAGGGTAAATACATGTCTATCCTCCAACAAAAATTAAATTTAAAAATAGTAAAAATAAAATAAGTTATGATAATATTAGAATTAATTAATTAAAAGGAAAACAGCGACCAAACTAAAGAGCTGACTTCATGGACCACTAGGTCTTTTTCTGCTATCTGGTTTTTTTTAGATATATTTCTATAAATGCTAGCTAATAACAAAAGGAAGCACCGTAGTTTCAAGGACTCAGCAGGTGTAGTAAAAGGGTTGTGAAAAACCAGTTTCTGAAACTCTGCCATCACTTCAAAGCTAGATGAGTCAAGGATCTAACCCTAAGCTAGTTCTTATATTTCCTGCCATAGACCCCAAAGAACAAAGGATTTGATCATCTTTCTTCCTGGAATACCGTTTTATCTGCCAGGTATAAGCCAGATCAAGCTTTCAAAACATACAGATCAGATCCAGGAGAAGATAGGCGATTTACCCAAAACCAAAACAAAACCCTACCTGTTTTACCTGTTTTAGGTGTGCAAATTGAAGAAGTAATTTTTCTCCAATTAAAAATCTGATAACTTGGTCTTGAAGACCTCATTCAGAGCTCCAAATAAATAAAATCTCTGGACAATCATGAATAAGGCTGTATCTCTCAGCCTGGCTTATAACTTACTATCTGATAATCTGACACTGCCTGGGCATTTCTTTATCCCAACCCTCCTTCCATGCCTTCCTTTTGCAATTTCTAAGGTTGAATTTTCCCCCTTACCAGAGGGAGCCCCCTTGTGGATTACTGTCAAGCCACTACTATGGCAACTCCACTGCGCTGTATAGTAGAAGCCATTTTAAGGCAGTACAGTAGAAGACATTTTGAAGCACAACAGGCTATATCTTAACAAAACACAACCCGAGGAGTGTTAGGGGTGTCTTACTCCCACAGCATTTGTTTTCAGAGAGTAAGTAGTCTGTGTTCCAAGTTTGGTTGAAATTGCTCAAGGCGTTCCAGAGTTATGCTGGAAAACACACACACACACACACATATGTATATATTGTTGTGTGAGAAAACACTGTTAGAAAAGAGAGAAATGATAATCATCTTTGTAAGATATGAATGTAACATATTTTATCTGTGTAGGATATGAATGAAACTCCCTTTTTACGATCCTGTAGTCCCTTGATTCAGGGTAGAGTCGGGCAGTGGTGGGTTTCAAAAATTGTTCGAACCTACTCTGTGGGTGTGGCCTCCTTTGTGGGAGTGGCTTGCCGCCCATGTGACCGGATNGTGTGTCCAGAAACGATTTCCATTGACGTGTTGGATTGTTAATACAGGATCTTTCTCCTCCATCCATTCCAGAGCAACTCCAGATGTTTCAGCCGCCGTCGCCGAGAGACCCACGGCACGTTTGCACATCAGTGAAGCTGTGCAACTGGCAGCCCGGGAGGTTGACCCAGACTCCTCCCGGGAGGCCTCTCTCTCCCAGCATCCCCTGCCTTTCAACCTCACGGCTCCAAACAACGCCACCCCGGGCAGCTACTTATCGCAGCACTCGCTGAATTTCCCCGAACACAACCCTGCGGAGCAGAAGCATTGGCCTGCTTACCTCAGTGCCAAACCCCCAGGCCCCAAGGGGGAGAATTCACAGGTGCCATGTTCACCGATGTGGCCCAACCAACCCCTGGCCACACAGCGCCTTCCGAACGAAAACTGGAGAGCCGCACCCAGCCAAGAGGTGTTCCGTTTGGACCACAGCCTGCCGGCTCCTCTCCTCCTCGACTTGCGGGAGGATGAGATGGGCTTTCCCAAGCACGATGGTTTCCTGACTTCCGGAGACTCGCCATGTAAAAGTGGCTTGGGAAAGGATCCGGGAGGAAACGTAATTAATCAGCTAACGGTGAACGTGGACCTGTCGGAAAGAGCCCCCAAACTGATGCTGGAACTGCGCCAGTCGAAAGGCCAAACCACCCCTCCACCGGAGTCACCCCGGCCACTTTCGGATACGGCAGGAAAGACCTGGAGACGGGCTAGCGATCCGGAAACGTTCGCAGCAAACCTTTCTCCAACCTTGATGTCCCCCAGGGCTCCTAGGCTTGGTTCGGTGGATTCTTGCGTGATCCCCGAGAGATCTCTGACCACGAATCGTCCGCACACGGGTGAGAAATTTCAAAGCAGGGCCGAAGAAGATCAACGAAAATTGACACGAGCTCCGGTTGATAGTAAACCTCGCGCTTCGCCGGCGTTCCAGCCGATCCCGGTGGCCGCAGACATCAGCGATTGGACGGACGCCTCAAAATCCAACCTGACCAGCGTGAGAAAAAATGAACTAACGCTCTCCGGGAGAGTAGAGAGAGAGCCCAGAAATAATGAAATCTCTCCTTTCGACGAGGCCTCCTTCTTTGTACACCTGGCTCACCCGATTCATCATTCCACGCCCGGTTTTTGCACAACCAGAGCCTTGAACCGCGAAGGGCCCGGCCCGGCGTTGCCATCCCGATCAGGATTTCAACATCCTCTTTCTTGCTTGCACGAAGAAATGTCAAAGACCCTGCACACCAATGCGCGCGATTCTTCAGCGACGGAGCCTCTTCAAAACCCCTGCCCCTTTCCCGCGAAAGAGAGTTTTGCGTCGCACGGCACCCCGGCCGTTCCAAACGACAAGGGTGACGGTTTTTGCGCTCTTCAACCTCTGAATGGCCGGTTTCAGTCCATGCCTTCTCTGAATTTCGCGGAGAAGGTCAGAGCGTGGCACCTGAGCTATTCGGTTGAGAAGCTGCCTGAAGTGTCCGGTTTGGGGACCCCCGTGCCTGGTCCAGGTGGCGTATCCCCCAGGCGGAAGGACTACGATGCGATCGCCGATTCCTTGACCCGCATCCTGCTCAAGCAGCAGAGTCTAGCTGACCCCAAGGCTGCCCCTTTTTATGGGCCGAGCTCCATGACCGATCTTCACAGCTCCCAGAAGGAGCCTCCTCCGCGGGCATTGCCCTTTACCCGCTCGCAGTCGGAAACCTCGGTGAGCGCCCTCAGCCGAGAGATTTCGAGGACAGACGTAGGGAACGAAAACAGAGCTGACGACGCTCTTCGGCAAGCCGACGTCCACCCGGACGCTTCCACGGCCTGTCGGATCCAACCAACCATCCCGGTTGAGGAAGACACGCTTTGCCGTAGTTACAGAGCCGTTCCCGTCTTCGCTACGGTCTCCAACGACGAGGAAAGTGTTAGTACGGGGAGACCTTCGGAGACCTTCATCGAGGTCAGGAGGATGGCCGAGCTCCTACGAGGGGAAACCAGCTCATGCGATGGGAGAAAGGAGGACTTGCGGGAGGCCGAAGAGAAGGCGAGGGAACCGTCGGGCTGTGGGTTTCAGGCCGGTGAAATGAGGATGGATTACTTGAGAGATCTTTCCCCGGATGATTTAAACCAAGAGACCGATTCCGGAACGGACAGCTGTACGGATTTCAGGCTGTGTTCCAGAGTGTTGTCTGGGTCTCCTCCGGCTTTGAACAAGCTGCAGAGCAGCTTGGAAGACGAACTGCAAACTTCCCATCACAGCGAGCTCAATATTGACGAGAGAATACCGGTAAGGACCATCATGGCCTTCCTTTTATTCTTCTTCTGTTCTTCAAGGGCTAAGGCGGGACTAGAACTCCCCGTCTCCTGGTGATTGGCCCAAAGTCACCCAGCTGGTTTTTATGCATCAGGCAGGACTAGAACTCACCGTCTCCTAGTGATTGGCCCAAAGTCATCCAGATGGCTTTTATGTGTCAGGCAGGACTAGAACTCCCCGTCTCCTAGTGATTGGTCCAAAGTCACCCAGCCAGCTTTTATGTGTCAGGCAGGACTAGAACTCACCGTCTCCTAGTGATTGGCCCAAAGTCACTCAGCTCGTTTTCATGGCTAAGGTGGGACTAGAACTCCCCATCTCCTAGTGATTGGCCCAAAGTCATCCAGATGGCTTTTATGCGTCAGGCGGGACTAGAACTCCCCGTCTCCTAGTGATTGGCCCAAAGTCATCCAGATGGCTTTTATGCGCCAGGCAGGACTAGAACTCACCGTCTCCTAGTGATTGGCCCAAAATCAACCAGCCGGCTTTTATGCCTCAGACAGGACTAGAACTCCCCGTCTCCTAGTGATTGGTCCAAAGTCACCCAGCCGGCTTTTATGCCTCAGGCAGGACTAGAACTCCCCGTCTCCTAGTGATTGGCCCAAAGTCCTCTTGAAACGTCACCTGTAGATTCCTGCAGGGATTTAGCAATGGAACTTTTTCCATGTGCATCTTTTGGGCCTCCTTGTGAAATGATGGGGTTTTGGTGTGAAACGTTGAACTGAAGTTTGTGCGAGGCCAAACCTTGTTGCCTTCCTTCTTCCCGCCCTCCCTGTCTCCTGCCAGGTGTACCTCCACAACCTGGGCATCGATCAGTCGCCTTCTTCTATTCTGACGCCGTTTTTGCCTCGGGGACCCATTCGCGAGATCGAATTCTCTCCCACGGAGCTCCGGACGCTGAAAGCCTCATCTGATGTCTTCCGCCTGCACCTCTCGGAAGGTACGGTGGGCAAGCTGTCTTAGGCCTCACCCGAGGGGAGATTAGGCCTGTCTGGGAGTCATTAGGGGTGGGTGGGCTGAGTTGGGCAGCCATAAAATAGAACAAAATATGACAGAATGAATGAAAGAATGAATGAATGAATATTTTTCCATCTTTGGGCATATAAGATAGGATAACCCTTTTAGTCACTTTTTCTATGTACACACCGGCACACATTAAAAATGAAATTCTGATGCTTGCTCTCAAGAGTGTGTGTGTGTGTGTAATATATGTACTGTGTGTAATATAGTACTGTGTACTATACTATCAGTGGTGGGTTGCATACCGGTGGCTGCCAGGAGCACCGGGTACCATTCTGGTACGGTGCTCCGGAGGGCCCACCCACCCGCCATCCTTACCTGTATTTGAACTCTTCTGCGCACAAAGCGCACAGCGCACGGCGCCTGCGCAACGCTTCGCTAACAACCGGAGCGTTGCAGAGGCATCGCGGAGCATCTGAGGAGGTAAGGGCGCCTGCGCGTGCTGTGCATGTTCATGTGGACGCCGGGCCCCACTGCACCGTACCGGTTGCCCCGGGATCCGGAACCCACCACTGTCACCACTGTTAACATATAACAGGTCGTTCTCAACTTACAACCGCAGTTGAGCCCAAAATTTCTCTCACTAACCAAGACAGTGATGAAGTGAGTTTTGCCCCACTGTACGACCTTTCCTCCCGCCGTTGTTAAGCAAATCCCTGTGGTTGTCAAATTAGTAACCCGGTGGTTAAGCGAATCTGGCTTCCCCATGGAGTTTGCTTGTCCGAAGGTCGCAAAAGGGGATCGCGTGACCCACCGCGACTGTCATAAATAGGAGTCGGTTATGCAACCGTCTGAAATTTGATCTCATCCTGACCACAAGGATGCTGCAACGTAAAAGTGGTCCCAAATCATTTTTTCCGGTGCCATTGTAACTTCGGACAGCCATAAAGTGAATGGTTGAAAGTCAAGGACTCCCTTTGATAATGGTTGATCTTCATGTGTTGATGTTTATCTGACATGCTTGAAGCAATTTCTTCTCCTGGAATCCCTACCGGCAACGTACTGTGTTTGTTTTGTTATCTGACAACAACATTTTATAGGAATCGACCTTAATAGGCAATCTGACATGCTTTCCTTTTCTTCCCAAAGACTCGCAGTCGGTGAAAGACGCCACGCAGACAACCTTCAACTCTTCGCTGCTCAGTGGCTCCGCTCTGGCAGGTTCGGCCGTTGACTCTGACACGTGGCAGCCCGCCAAGCCTTCTCCACAACACACCAGAGATCTCCTCCAGCCGAGCAGCTCTCCTTGGAAAGCTCATGCTGTCGCGCCGCCTCTCAGCGTGTCCGTCCCTGAGTCCCCACCCGCTCCCGTTTCAACTGAAGGGACTCACGTCATCCCAGGATCTCCCTCCAACTCGGCCGGGCAAAGAGCCACAAGACGCGTGGCGTCGCCAGAGGACAATTTAGGCCCGAACCAACTTGGCGCGAGTCGAGTAAAACCCGGTGCTTCGTCTCAGGACAACGATGAGAAACCTGCAAGCGAAGAAATCGCGCGATCTTTCAGCTCAATTCCTGGGGGAGGGAGAAAGGATTCCTTCACAGGGTCAGACGCCCCAGAAGAGAGCCAGAAGCTCCCAGCCGAGGTAGACTCCAGACCGTCAAGCGGAAAATTCAGATATCGTTTATCCAGCTCTTCTTCTGGCTCGTTAAAACAGATCGATCGAGTCGATTTATACGGAGGTCCCGGATCCAGCGAGAGAAGCATGCTCGAGATCCAAAGAGGTTGGTCATGGGACGGGAGCATGGCCAAGCAGGAGATCACCGGTAGTTTAAACTGGGAAGATCTGCAGCTGGTGGACGTATTCAACAAGGAGCCAACGGTATCTCAAGAGCTCAGGTCGGGATCCCAGAAAGCCAACGAAGACCGTGGGATGACAAAACCCATCACGCGGTCAGATCCCGAAGGTTGCACCAGGGCGTCTGTGAACCAGAGTCTTCCGCTTCCAACAGGAAGATGTCCAGACATCCAAGCAAGCCCTTCCCCAAACCTCCAAGAGATCCAATCTGTGTCCAATATGGACGACGTGGCTAAACTCTTGAGAGGTTTCCCGTGCGTCGAGGAAAGTCGTCCGAAAGAGATTGGCGGCTCTCAGGAGAGCACCAACAGCAGCAGCGTGGACTCTCTGGGCATCCGAATGAAGAAACTTCTCCAGTACGGACGTCCTGCGATCGACCGAGCGCCCTGGATGGAGACGGCGGAGGAACGCGATGGGTCAGCTCCGAAAGAGTCCTCCGTGTCATCTGCTGGTTCAGCGTTCCTCAGAGGGGAAGGCGGGGCCCAAAGAAGCGATACCGGCAGCAGTATGGACTCGTTGATGGTAAGGGTTAAAACCCTCCTGGAAGAGGAACAGCCTGTGTTGCATGCAACCCAGATACTCCGGAGCATAGAGGAAGAAGAAGAAAAAGCCCGTGGTAAGGAGCTGCCAGGTTGTGTGGCTTATTAATTGGTTACGTTTATNGACTTCGGGCCAATCACTAGGAGACTCTGAGTTCTAGTCCTGCTTAGGCATGAGAGCCACCTCGGTGACTTTGGGCCAATTACCAGGAGACTGCGAGTTCTAGTCCTTCCTTTTCCATAGGAAAATGTGTTGGATACACCCAGAGCCTTGAGCAATTTGTAAAAATATCATAACAAAAGATGACTTACAAATTAAATGGAGATGCCACTGAAGTATATATCTATTAGGTGCAAACTTAAGAACCTGTGTGCCTTTTATGAGCTGCATTTATCACACCTAACTCGGATGGAGGGATTGAGACTAAGAAAGGGAAAGCTTGCTTTTTTAACAGGGCAGCTAAGTGCCATGAGTTCACCTCACATGCGTGTGCGTGCACACACCCAGGCCCACAAACATGCTATCTAGTTACCCTAGTATTGACAATCTTCGTCCTTGCAAATCCTGTCTTACAGTTATGCTAGAATTTGCACCTGGGCTCCGAATTCCTGCTCTGTTTTGGTGGGCCTTTGTTAAATTTCTCAGGAAGGACCAGGTGCTGATGGAAAAAGAGGATCTTTTTTTGAGGCTAAAGAAGGCAAGTCCATAGGGTGGAGAGGGAGTTTATCTTTCATTACCGTGTTTCCCTGAAAATAAGACCGGGTCTTATATTAATTTCCCCCCCAAAAGAAACCTTAGGGATTATTTTCCAATTAGGTCTCATTTTCAGGGAAATACGGTACTAAAATGTGTCCCTCTCGCTGACAATTTTAACTAGCTCTTATTTTGGGGGTAGGGCTTATATTACAAACATCCTGAAAAATGCAAGGGCTTATTTTTCAGTTAGGTCTCATTGTCAGGGAAATACGGTACTAAAATGTGTCCCTCTAACAATCTTAACATGGTCTTATTTTTTGGGTAGGGCTTATATTACAAACATTCTGAAAAATTCAAGGGCTTATTTTCCAGTTAGGTCTCATTGTCAGGGAAATACGATACTAAAATGTGTCCCTCTGGCTGACAATCTTAACTGGGTCTTATTTTTGGGGTAGGGCTTATATTACAAACATTCTGAAAAATGCTCGGGCTTATTATTAGCTGTTATTTTGGGGGAAACTAGAATGGTATTAGTACCTCCCTTGCTCTTGATTGTATCCCCTCTGTTCTTGCAACTTAGGATTGCACTGGCTTCTTCGGCTGTCGCTGCACACAGCTGGCTTATATTTAATTGGTCGTCCACTATGACTCCAAGGTCCCTGCTATTAAGCCCGGTGAAACAGATGTGGAAGGAGCCCGGCCCTTTACATCAAAGGTCAGGGGTGTCAAAAAAAAGTCAAGGTGGTGGCTGCAAGCACCTGATCGAAGCCCCACCCCTTTCAAAATGCAAATGAGTGTTGTTTGCTGTAGCCAAAGATATTTATGGGGTTATTTTTACAGGATATTCATAGTAATATTAGAGGAGGGGGAAAAGGCAAGATTTGTTTTCAGCAGCCTTTGAAGGTGATCACTTCCTACGGATGGGCAAAGGTGCCAACAAGAGTTTGGTTCTGCGCCCCAGACAATGGGCACAGGGTCAAGCCAGATGACCTCTTGGTTCTTCGTTCCATCCTCTTTTCTCCAGCAGAGAGTTGGGGGTCTTGAGACTCTGGTACCCTTGGCGAAACCAAAAGCCTCTCAGGGATGCTTGGCTCCTGGGTTGGGGATCTCCATTCAGTAGCTGCTGGCAGGGCAGGAGGTAAATAGATGGAGGGAAGGGGGAAAGGGACGGGAGTAAATGGATGAAGGTAAGTAAGGGGAAGAGGGGAGGGGAGGCATAGGGAGGGGAGAAGGAAGGGGAAGGATGGGTGGATAGGTAGAGAAAAAAAGGGAGGGAGGAAGGAAAAGGAAGGAAAAGGGAAGTGATGGATGGGTGAGGAAGGAGAAAGAAGGTAGGGATAGATGGGAAAGAAAGAAAAAAGGAAGGAAGGGATAGATGGATGAGAAAGAATGAAGGAATGATGAAGGAAAGGGAGGGAGGGAGGAAAAAGGGAAAGTGAATGGGTAAGGAAGGAAGTAGAAGGTAGAGGTAGGTGGATGAGAAAAAGAAAGGGAAAAAAAGGAAGGCAGGGATAGGTGAATGAGAAAGAATGAAGGAATGATGAAGGAAAGGGAGGGAGGGAGGAAAAAGGGAAAGTGAATGGGTAAGGAAGGAAGTAGAAGGTAGAGGTAGGTGGATGAGAAAAAGAAAGGGAAAAAAAGGAAGGCAGGGATAGGTGAATGAGAAAGAATGAAGGAATGATGAAAGAGGGAGAAGGGAAGGAAGGATAAGGGACATGACGGATGGGTGAGGAAAAAAGGAGAAAGATGGTAGGGTTAGATGGATGAGAAAGAAGGAAGGATGAAGGAAAGGAAGGGAGTGAGGGAGGAAAAGGAATGAAGTGGATGGGTGAGGAAGGAAGTAGAAAGAAGGTAGAGATAGATGGATGAGAGAAAAAAGGTAAAAGAATGAAGGAAGAGATAGATGAAAAAGAATGAATGACGGAATGATGAAAGGGGGAGGAAGGAAGGAAGGAAGGAAAAGGGACATGATGGATGGGTGAGGAAAGAAGGTAGGGATAGATGGGTGAGAAAGAATGAAGGAAGGAATGATGAAGGGAAGGAATGGATGAGAAAAGGACAAAAGAGGAAGAAAGGAAGGAATGGATGAGAAAGAAGAAAGGGATGAAAAAGGGAAGGAAGGAAAAAGTGAAAACGAAAGGAGGGAGAGAAGGAAGGAAGGAAATTACAAGTTACATTTCTATGACATCCTGGGGAAATACACAATGTTCTTCCTTTCCACTTTCTCACTCCATTCTTTTCATAAGGGGTATCAAACGAGGTGCACCCTTCCAGGCACTCTCCTCCTCTCTAGCATCTGCCCTGCCCTCTTTTCCCCTGGGACAGTGGTGAGATTCAAATAATTTAACAACCGGTTCTCTGTCCTAATGACCAGCTGGGTAGGTGGGGCATAGTGGTCATGTGACTCGGTGGGCGTGGCCAACTCAACGTCACTCACATCGATGGGCACTTCGCCTTAGTTGTTACAATGGTAATAAGGGTTAACCGGAGAGGCAGTTTCTGTAAGCAGGGCAATCAAAATGAGGCTAGAAACAACACCAGAATATTTCCTTCCTGCCTTCCTTATAGGATTAGCCCTGCAAAGTGGGAAAAAAATCAAAACGAGATTTCTTACAACAACCGGTTCTCTGAACTGCTTAGAAAGTTACCAACCGGTTCTCCCGAATAGGTGCGAACCGGCTGAATCCCACCACTGCCCTGGGACCACTGACGCCATCGGTTGGGCTCCACAAAGAAACCCAAAGTTGCATGTCACCGCGACTTCACTCAGCCCAGAAAAGGACTGACAACTTCCGCTTCCTCTCTCCATCCGTGACCCAACAAAAGTGCGAACGTCATAAGCGCGCCGACAACACCATGGCGCTAAAACCGCGATGTCAAAAGCGCGCCAACAACAGCGTGCCAACAACAGCGCGCCGACAGAAGCACAATTTAATTTAAGGTAAGATTTACGGTTAGGTTTAGGGTTAGGGTTAGGGTTAGGGTTACGTTACAGCGCGCTTCTGTCGGCGCACTTTTGTCGGCGCGCTTTAGGGCTAATTAGTCGCTAATTCATCGCGCGGTTTTGTCACCGCGCTTTAGACACCGCGGTTTAGTCAGGCACGCTTTTGTTGTGCGCGCATCTGTGGTGGAACCTCTCCATCGTTCTACTTCCTGTCTCTTGACAAAAGGCCTTGCGTCTCGAGGGCAAAACTCCCCCATAATATTTTTTGGGGTGTGTGAATCTCCAAGAGGCGAGCGATCC